TCCGATCCAGACGACGACGACGACGATAAAGGTTCCGCCGACGGGGTTGGCGACGCAGAGGATGGCGAGGACGCTCCGCTCACCGGCGGCAGCGCCGATGCCGATGCAATGGGAGATGCGCCGCCTTCATCCGCAATGCTATCGCGGTTGCTACCGTTCTTGTAGCTGTGTTCCGGAGAGACAAGGGAAAGAAAAGGGTTCGTGAGCACAGCGCATTGCAGAAAGAGGGTGGCAACTTTGACAAACACGTATACCAACAAGATGAGCAACAATGCACTTACCGTAGTTGTTGGTTGACAACTTCTTGACGCGGAGCGTTCACACGGTTGGAAATGGCGAGGGAATCGGTGGATTCGTTGGGCTTGACACCAGCGAGTTCGCCGCGGACTTGGTCGTTGACGAGCCCTGCTTTTGGGGCGTTAACGCGGTTGGCGATGGCGAGCGAGTCGACGCTCTCGTTCGGCTTCTGGCCGGCAAGCTCTCCTCGGACTTGCTCGTTGACGACGCCAATCTTGGGTCGCTCGCGGGCATTCACAAAGTCGACATTGTCTGTGGTGATGGTTGGTCGATCTTGTGGCAGGCACTTTGCGCAGTAGAGTGTGGCGCCTTCGAATGGCAGCTTGTACGTGTTCAGTGTGAGTTTTGTCGAGCAGATCGAGCCTGTCGCAAAATCAAGCGTCAAAGCAATTTCAATGGTGAGTGATTTTTCAATGCTCCTGCGGCTGCTATTCCGCTCTTTTTGGGGGGAAAGAGGGAAGAGGGAAGAAAGCGAGAAGAGACGTTCAAAACAATCAAACAACATTTGTAACACTGGGATTCAGGTGGTCGTCAGGTGAGGCTGGGCAATGAGATTCGATTCAAACCGACATTGACTATTGCTAGTGTTATGTGGATGATGATGATGATGATGTGATGAAGGTGGTCATTGGGGGAAACGGCGAGGTGGTTCCGCTGCCTAACCACAGATGGTTTGGAGTGGCTCAGCGCTCGCTCGTGACTCACTCTCACTCTCTCTCGCTCACAATGTCCCTCCTGTGACTCCACGGCACAGCAGCTCGTTTCCTCAGACACCGGGGACAGGCAGAGGGGGAAGCTGCAACTGTGGATTCAAAACGAACGCTTTCTCGCTTGATGTTGCTCAGTTGTTCCCCTCTCTCTCTCTCTCTCTCTCTCTATCTCTCTCTTGCTGGAATGTCACACACATCAAAGCACTTCTCACTTGCGATAAACAGCCGCGCCAAGCACGCGACAGACGAAAAAACAAAAAACAAAAAATAAATAAAAAAATAAAAAACTCATCGAAGGAGGAGAAATAAACAACAATAATAATAACAACAAAACAGTAGCAAGTTCGTTGGGTTTTCATTATTATTATTATTATTATTATTATTATTCTTGTTTTTTTGTTTTGTCGTTTTGTTTTTTTTTTTTTGCTTGCTGTTCTGTTGAAAACCAACCAATCATCGGCGCCTCTTCCAAAAAGCAACGAGAGAGATGACAAGGGGGTTCTCATTCGCATGCGTCACAGAAAAAGGCCGAATCGGATGCACAAGACGGCCAACGAACAAAAACCAAAACAAAAAAAAAAAAAGAAAAAAAAAAAGCAGAGAACAACCAAACAGTCGGAAAACCCCAAAAAGGCCGCTCTCAATCACTGAAGAGGGAGGGTACAAACACAAAAGCACGGCATTGCGCTATATTCATTCTTGCTCGCATCCCGAAGCCCTCCCGACAGGCCTCATCAGCAAAGCGAGAAAACCAAAAACCAAACAAAAAAACACCGTCTTTTTTTTTTTTTTTTTTTTTTTTTTTTTTTTTTTTTTTTTTTTTGCTTTTGATTTTTCCATTGGATAGTGAAGAGCGAGCGAGCGCATGGAGCAGCTGGTCTCGCTGGTCTCCCAGTCAAACTCATCCACACACTGCTGGAGACACAAATCCTCATGCGATCGTCATTGCTGAAGAAAACCAAAAAGTTGCTGGTGGTTTACATTGGAAGCAGGTCTTGTGCCAGTTGTTGTTGCGGATGCAGAACGACTCGAGCGGATACGCCGTCTTGCCGCACGTCACGCAGGGCAGCGCTTTCGACATGGATGTGCGTTGGGTGTATATGCGTGTTGGTTTTGTTTGTTTGGGCTGCGGGGAGAACGAGGAGGACACCGGAAACAAGAAAAAAAAAGACGAGTCTGCGAAGAGAATATTGGGAAGGAAGACTGATCACAAAGCCCAGCCTTGAAGAGAATGAAAAATGATGATGAGCCGGAGGGAGTTGGAACAGAATAGCAACAGGAACAATGCCTGAATAGTCGATTCGTTCATTGGTCGCAAACTCGCGGTTGACAGCTTGGGGCGAGGGAAGGTGGGATGCACTGGGACTTGATTCTGAGACGTACAGTACCGCAGCGACTCAGAGACACCACTTCCCCATGCTTGTTTGACAGTTTACAACTCTGTCAACCCTTTTTTCCCCCAAGCACCAGAGCCCGAAATGGCTGGCCAATTCCCAGCTTTAAAAACAGAACGGAACAAATTTTAACGTATAAAAAATCCAGTTTAACTTTTTGATTTTTACGTTTTAAAAACCAACCTTTTGCTTTGCGTTTGCGGATGGGGAACGACGTGAGTGCGCAGACGCCACTGCCAGGCGCGGATGACAGCAATGGTGCCCGACTGCTTGACCACGAAGCAGCGGCGGCGATGGCGGCGGCTGCGGACCCGCGGGCGAGAAGCACGAGCGTCGGGTTGCTGGACGACCTCTTCCTGCTCGACCAGGATGCGAATAACGACTCGGACTCGGATGGCGACCCCAACGACGACGACGCGCATCACCATCACCATCATCATCATCAGCAACAACATCACCATAATACGAGCAGTAGCATGGACGAGGACTGCTGCGACGAGTTCTTCGGGCAGACGTTCGGGTTGAACGGCGAAGTGACGCTTGTTGTGCGGTTTGCCGAGCCAAAGCTGCACGTCGTCCTCTGCGGCTCGTTCAACAACTGGAACAACTCGCTGGTCGACATTCAGCATCAGCAACAACTGCAGAGTGATCACCATCATCAGCAGAATAACACTGCGAGCAGCAGCAATAGTGCCATCGCGAGCAACAGCGGGATACTCATGCGACCGCTCGTCCTCACCCGCTCCCAGCTCGAGCGTCTCCACGCAAGGCAGCGCGCCGTCCTCCACGCCAAAGTCAAGCTGCGCACCATTGCAGAAGCAACCACACCTTCGTCATCGTCGTCCGCGTCGCTGGCGTCGCTGGCGTCGGGGAGCAACCATGGCGACGCCGCAGCAACAGCAGCAGCCGCGGAGATAAACGCGAATCGGGCCCAGATGAAGAACGCTGGCCTTCCGACCGCGCAGGGCCCGGGTCAGACCGACAGCGGCGGCGGCCCCAGACTCGGCGCCACCAATGAAGACGCGCGACAGATAGCGGCAGAGCTTGTGCAGTCGACCTTGTCGCAGTCGCTGAGCGCGACGACCGAAGGCGCCGTTTCCGAGTTTGGCGCGCACTTCTTCCCGCGAGCGGCCGAGCAGGCGTTGCAACACCACCACAGCTCATCCGACCACCAACGAAGCCACCTGCATCATACCTGGGCCACTACCATCTTCCTCGACCCAAGCAAGCCCGGAGAAGCATACACGTACAAGTTCTATGGCAAGTCTTGGAGCGTTGCTGCAAGCGTTTTCTTCCCCCCCCCCGCTCACCTCTCCCCCAATTTATTTTTTGTGGTTTTTCCACTCTGAGCCGATTTGAGGTTTTTGCGGATTTTTTTCTTTTCTGTTGTGGCGAATTTTCACGTGCATTCACGCGCATTTTTCGTGTGGCGCACGTAGATGTCTTGCTGATTTTCTCACCCTGCCTCTCTTCCTCTCTCTCTCTCTCTCTCGCTCCGCGCCTTGCACTCTGTAATAACAGTTGACGGCGAATGGGCTCAGCATGTACGCTCGCGCCATCGTGTGCCCGACGGTCATGGCGGTTACAACCACATGTTCACGGTACCGGCATTTGACACCAACTCTGCCAGCAGCGGCAACGGGAACAGCGCCAATTCGGCCGGGAAGAACGTCGCCACGGGCTCGGTCTTGTTGGCGCCTAAAACGCGCCTTGGCGTGGATCCGAGCATGACACTGACACCTTCGGTGTCGACGGAGAACGCATCGGCCGACTGGAGCGAGATCTCGCCGACAGACCTTGCGAGCAGCGCGTCGCTCCAGACAACTCAGTCTCGTCTGATACGCGAATTGATTTCCAACCAGGGCACGGAAGAGCTTGGCCTCATGCTTCAGTTCAAGCAGCGCGAAGAGCGCGCCATACGCTTTCGTAAACATTACGCCTCGCTTTCGCCAGACGCCAAGAACGCGCTGCTTGGAAAACTCGCCCACGAGTTCCGATACACTGATGCCGAGTTGTCGCGCATCGAGTCGACGCTGGCTCAAGTCCTTGACCCCAAGAATGACGATGGTGGGAGCAATTCACCGACAACCACTGCTGCCTCGCTTCGTCATCACGCGCTTGCCCTAGCTGCTCGTGATGCTCTGCATATTTTTGCTCCTGCCTACGACAACATGTTTGATTCGATCGCATCTTCCGAGGTGAGGTTGCCATGTGTGTGTGTGTGTGTGTTTTGATGCAACTCACGCTTGATGTTTGTTTTTGCTTGAGTTTCTCAGGGAGGTGTCAAGTTCCTGGTCTCCTTCCGAGCAGACTTGCTCTCTCACATTCGTGCACTCAAGCAACAACTGAGAAAGAGCGCAAGCATCGCAAAGCCGACGATTGCCGTTGCTGCTGCTGCTGCTGCGCCATCGCCGCCCAACACGCCTCCTTCGCCATCGCAAGACGAAGCTTCTACTGTGGCCGAGCTTGATTTGCTTTCGAACAGCCTCATGCGGAAGTTGTCATCCTGGTTTATTGTCGACATTTTGCAAATCCGCGCAATTGCACCTTCCGACTCGCCGATTCTCAAGCGATACGTGATTGAGCACGAGGCTGTACATCCGTTCTCTTCATGGGCTGATTTCACACGTCGCATCGATGGACACTGTCGCCGCACCTTTGGTCTCTTCCACCCAAGCATGCCCCTTGTAATGCATCCCCGACCACATGCCGCTGTGCAACGGTAATTGATTCTGATTCTAACGTCTCCCATCTGCCTTACAGATGCCACTCGTCTTCCTGGAAGTAGCTTTGACCCAAGGTCTTGCCAGCAATGTGCACCACATACTGAACGGTGAAGAGGAAGGATCCGTGGCCACCCGGAACACTGCGACATTTTACTCAATCAATGCAACCCAAGACGGGCTGTCTGGCATGGACTTGGCTGGTCACATGATTTACCGTGCCATGACCAAGCTCCAAGCCGAGGGTTGGATGATGCCCGCCCTGCACCAAGCGATTGACTCGCCAACCTCGTCTGGCCGCGACTCGCCCGCTTCTGTTACATCCAACTCGTCAGATTTGGCGCATGACTCGCCAATTCCCAGCCCTGACTTGAGAAAGCGCTTTACGCGCAAGCTGTCCATGTCTGGCAGCCAAGACCTCGTCATTTACGCCACCTTGTCGCCCATACCTGGGTTTGGCAACTGGCTCCGCGCCGAGTTTGATGCCAGCGCTCCGTCGCTTGCCATTTCGGCTGCTGACGAAGACATGGCCACCCTTCGCTCGCTTGCACTCAAGCGCGGAGCGGTTGCGGCAGAGGTGTCTTCCTCACTGTTGCTCAAAACAATGCTCGCTGGTAATTTTGCGTCGGATGCCGAGCTTTCTGCTGCGCTCGAGAGACCAATGCTACGGCTTTGCCTGCACTATCTCCTGGACGTCAAACAGGTTTGTGCTTGTGAACAGATGGTTGTACGATGCGTCTTCCAGCTGTCGTGCTCACTGTTGCATTGGGTCCTTTTTTTGTTTTTTGTTTGTTTGTTGTTTTCTGTTCGCTTTGGTTGTTTGCCCGCCCCCCCCCCGCCCCCTTCGTCTCAAACACAGGGCAAGAAAACCGCCGACCCTGTCGCCAACTTTCACATGGGAAACGGCGCCGTCCTGGAGCGTCTTAATTGGGGAGCGTGGCTGTCGCCGAAAGGGTTGCGTCAGTCGTTTGGCATCATGGCCAATTATCGGTACAGCGGAGACGTCAGCGCCATCACAAAGCGCGTCAAAGAATACAAGTCGGACGGTGTTGTCCATGCCGCGCCCAGTCTGGCACGCTGGAAGTCGCTTCGCGATGTGTTCCGCGCGACAGCCAAGTTTATTTTACGCACCGGGTCGCAACACTCGCCATTAATGAGTGTCTCGTCAGGGACGGCCTTGATAGCAGAAACGGATTCTGACGAAGCACCTCGTTTGTCTGCCGTTGTTGAGCCACCGACAAGTACGCTGCAATCTGCCTGAGAAAACAAAACAGTGGCATGGCACCAGTTCACTTTTGTTGCCGTTTTTTTTTTCAATCACCCCCTAGTGTTGTTCCCATTACATGAATTTGCGTAGGTTTTGTTCATGTAATGAATCAACAGTTGATGAAATGGAGAAGAAAGTCAGTGACTTGCTTGTGTTGTGTTTTGAGTGCTCACGGCGATTTTGAGCCGAGCACAAGTGCTTGCTTTCTTTGCTCTCTGTAATGTTTCAAATTGTCATCCTAACTTGTCATCCTCGTCATGGAATTAGCTTTCAAAACAACGTTTTAGGTTGGCACTTTTCAGTCTCCTTTACTGTGTATTGTGTCTATTGGGTCGTTTGGGTTTACGTACGTTTGGCACAGCCTGGTCTGTGCGCTCTGCGGCCGAGAGATGATGCCGACAGATGATCTTGTGAATGTGTTTGAACGCATAGAATGACGACGGGGGGGGGGGAGAGCGTAGCGCGTGAGCAGAGAGGATGGCGAAATACTCACCCACCAAACTTTGACTGGTAGGAAACATGCTGTCGCTTCAGAGCATGACTGCGAGACAACGCGAGTTGTACGACAACGTCAAGAATGCGAGTGGAACGGAGGAGTGAGTCGAAAGCCGAGTTTATTGGAAGGTGGAGCGCGAGCGTGTGTTAATGTTACGAGCAAACCCTGGCACTTCCCACAGCCGGTTATGGATGGGTTATGATGGGATTCTCGTATTTAGCACAAAATAACAAGAGTACGTGTACTGACGAAATTGGACGGACAGACTGACCAGAGCGCAAATTGGCGATGTGGAAGCACAAGCGATCGCTGAAGCACTCAAAGTGAATACCACGATGACCAAGCTCTAGTACGGCATCGAACTTGTACAGATGCATGCGAGTGGGAGCAGAAGTCATTCAGAGTGCTCACCGATGGAGGAGGGAAATGGACAGTTTGGATGAGAATCAGATTGGACCGATTGGAGCACATGCGATTGCCGAGGCACTCAAAGTCAACAAGACGATGATTCTGCTCGAGTAAGGCATCTCACTTGTGCTGATGCGTGTGAGTGGGCGATACCGCAGCAGAGGACGGTCAAAGTGGCTCACTGATGGACGGCATGGACAGTATGAGCTCCAATCACCTTGGCAATGCTGGAGCGGAGGCGATTGCAGAAGGGCTCAAACTGAACACGCAGCTCACGGAGTTTCGGTAAGGCATGCCACTTGAAGGATTTCGCCAAACCGCATTTTTCACTGATGGTCGAACAGGTTGCATGAGAATGAAATTGGCGATGCAGGAGCACAAGCGATTGCTCATGCACTCGGCGTCAACGTGACGTTGAGTTCGCTCTAGTAAGTCATCTTGCATGTACTGACGTATGTGAGTGGGTGATTTCAACAGAGGATGAAGAATGCTCACTGCAGGGGGGGGGGAAATGTGGACAGTTTGCAGCATAATCAAATTGGTGCTGCTGGTGCGCAGGCGATTGGCGACGCGCTCAAAGTCAACAAGACAGTGATTAAGCTCAAGTAAGTCATTTAGCTGATTTCAGCAGAGGGCATTCCGAGTGCTTACTGATGGAGGGCATGAATAGTCTGAATGACAATCCGCTTGGTGATGCCGGAGCGCGTGCGATTGCTGAGGGACTCAAAGTGAACTCGACGCTGCCTTGTCTCTTGTAAGGCATCCATATCTCGTCTTGACTGATGCGTGCGAGTGGATGATTTTCAGCGGAGGGTATTCAGAGAGTGCTTCCCTGACGGACGGGAACGGACAGACTGAGCGCGAATCAGATTGGCGCCGCAGGAGCGCAGGCGATTGCCGAGGCACTCAAAGTCAACACGGGACTGATTCAGCTCTTGTAAGTCATTTCACCTTCGGCCGCGGTGTATGTGAGTGGGCGATTCACACGCTGATGGAGGGGACGGACAGATTGAGTGCGAATCAGCTTGGCACTGCTGGAGCGCAGGCGATGGGTGAGGCGCTCAAAGTGAACACGACGCTGACTGAGCTATTGTAAGTCATCTCGCTGTGGTTGATGCATGTGAGTGGGTGATTTCAAGCAGAGGGCATTCAGAGTGCTCACTGATGGACGGAACGGACAGTTTGGGCAACAGTCAGCTTGGCGATGCTGGAGCACAGGGAATCGCTGAGGCACTCAAGGTGAACACGACACTGACTACACTTCAGTAAGGCAACTCATTTTACTGATGCTTTGAGTGGGTGATGCAACCCACGGAATTCAAAGGGTCTCACTGATGGACGGGGATGACCAGGCTGGAAACGAATCAGATTGGCAATACTGGAGCGACGGCGCTTGCTGAAGGACTCAAAGTGAGCACGACGCTGGACGTGCTCAAGTAAGGCATCTGATGAATATGAGTGCGTGAGAGTGGGTGATCCTGCCGAATGAATTCAGAGTGCTCACTGATAGGGGGGGGGATGGACAGTCTGTGGGAAAATCAGATTGGCGACGATGGAGCCCAGGCGTTTGCTGAGGCACTCAAAGTAAACACGACGCTGGCTGGGCTCATGTAAGGCATTTCACTTGAACTGATGTTTGAGTGGGAGATTTTTCAGCAGCAGCCACTCAGCACTCACTGATGAGGGGCAGCTTGGACAGGAACGAAATACGCGATGTAGGAGCGCAGGCACTTTTTGAGGCACTCCATGTGAACACGAAGCTGAAGAGTCTCTTGTAAGTTGCCATGCGCTTTGTTTGTCTTGGTCGTTGAGCTCGGTAGCTGTATCTCGTAATTACATTGTCATCCTGCTCACTCATGGAGCGACAGTCTATCAAATAACTTTATGGGCGATGCTGTTGTTCAAGCGTTTGATCAGGCTTGGCTAGGCAGCTTTATGAAATACGTTTCGTAAGTTGTCCCTTTCCTAGGGAACCCATGAATGCTCAAGCAAAGCTTCCTGGCTTCTGACTGACTGCTCACTCATCTTGATTGTTCCATGCACAGCGTCCGCAACCAGATAAGCCCTCGTGTGCTCTCCTTACGTCCACCATTAGCAATCGCTGCAGACCGGGAGGCTGTGCTTCACTTGCTGATCAGCGGCCCAGAGCGGGAGGATCAATTGGCGTCTCTACCAGTCCTACCAACCGAGATTGCCGACCACATTCTGGACGAGGCGCATTACTGGCAAGGCATTCAGCACACGAAACGAGAGCTGTTTGACTACGATGATCTCAAAGTCACACTGCCTCGAAGCGCCGATGGACGCGCGATCCGTGTGAAGTCAATTCGGGTGCTTCGGGACAGGGGCGATCGCAGTCCGTTCACAGACGACGATGCTTTTGATGTGGTTGTTCGGGATGAGCACGGCGTTGTTCGATGCGAGTTTGCTGCGAATTCGACGTTCGTCGATTCGACTCTCGAATCCTTGACGCTCTGCCCAGCGAGTACTCCGATCATCCGAGAACTGCGCGAGGGCTGGGAAGTTCGAGTTTCTCCCAGCACGCAATGGCAAGATGTGCAATTCGAGTATCTTTATGTCGGATATATCGAGCGGCCGATGTTTGAATAGAAATTTGGTGTGTCGGCTTTTTTTGTTTTTTTTTTGTTTGTTTGTTTGTTTGTGCCCTTCTCTCGTAATTTACCAAATCTGATTGACTTGACCAAAAATCTTCTTTGAGCTCTTGTTCTTCTTCTCTGACTAAGCCCCAGTCTTTCCTGAATAGCTATAATGTCTGAATCGCCCATTCTGCCCCCGCCACTCTTCCTCGCGCGCGCTGCCGCTCGTCCCTCCACCCCCGCCGCCACCACCACCACCGCCGCCGCCGCCGCCGCCGCTTCTACCCCTTCGTCTACCGACGCCTCTTCTCTGGCCGCCGTCGAGCAGCAACAAGCGCAGCCAGTCCACTCGGACGGCTTTGTTCCCCGCGTCGCGCTCACGCCATGTAAAATCAGGCGATTTTTGATTTCCGTTCATTGATACATTCGGATGTGTGGAGCGCCACACAATTCCAAGTGCATCGCTCAAACATCCTCTCATTCTGATTGTGCTCGTTTTGGTTTGGCTTGGTTGATTCTGCGGAACGAATCGCAGCTCAAGTGCAGGCAATCGAGCAACTCCAAGAAAAGCTGAATGTGCCGGGTTGGACCGTCCGCCAATGGCGCTACATCCATGAAGGCGGTTGCCTAGCACGGTAAAGCCGAACCGGTCGACTGGAAGCACACAGTTCAAGCTTGAATCTGCTGGATTTTTTTTTTCAGCACAAATAACACCAACATTGTCGCTTCCGATGTTTTGCCACAAATTCGCATTTGGCAGATACCTCCGTGCTCGCGATTGGGATGTCGAGAAGGCGCACCAACTCATGCTTGGAACTCTGACGTGGCGCGAAGAGTTTAAGGTAGTTTGCCTTTGTGCAGATTGGAGTTTGTTGTCGGGAGACACACACTCTCACCTCCGACTGCTTCTTGTGCTGCGAACAGGTGCACGAAATCTCGCCCGAGGATCCACTCATTGTCGAAGAGGGCCTGACAGGAAAGACATACCGTCATGGCCGGGACCGAGCAGGTCGCCCAATCATCTACATGAAGCCGCGCTTCCAAAACACCAAAAACTACGCCGAGCAAGTGCGGTACACTGTGCATCACCTCGAGCAGGCAATGCGCAGTATGAATCTGCACGAGGGTGTCGAGCAAATGGTAACCATTGCCGCAGCAGCAGCAGCAGCAGCAGCAGCAGCGATGTGCCCGATCGTTTTTTTTTTTTTGTGTGTACGGCAGATTGCTGGGCTGACTTTTTGGTTTGTTTCCTTGCGCATCCCCCCACACCAGACGCTCTTGATTGATTTCCAAGGCTACTCGGTCATGAATGCTCCTCCCATGTCACAAACAAAGGAAGTCATGTCCATTTTGCTGAACTGTTATCCCGAGCGGCTGGGTCTGGCGTTGATGGTCGACGCGCCATTCCTGTTCAACATGGCGTACAAGGTTGTGTATCCCTTCCTCCCAACCGAGACTCGCAAGAAGGTATGATCGGGTCTGGAAGCCAGCTGAATTTTGTGCAACCCCTGGCTCACTAGTCGTTTTTTGTTGTTGTTTTTTGTGATAGATTCACTTTATCAGCGGCAACCAGCAAAGCAAAGCGACGAGTCTGAGCCAACACATTGATCTGGAAACACTCGAGCATGACTATGGCGGTTTGGTGAAGGCCAAGTACGACAGCGCGGCATACACCAAAGCAGAAGCTGAGGAACTCGGTCGATTCAAAGCACACCACGCCGATCTCGAGTCCAAAGAGACCGACGTACCACCACAAAAGGCCTAGGCTAGAAATAAACTGCATTATTACAACATGACATTACAAGTATTCACGTCTCAAAGTAACAGTGTGAAAACACAACAAAACCGACAAGCAAACAAAAGGACCACAAATTGAATCATTGAAACAACGAGCATGTTTAGTCCATGTTCTTCATTTTATCCTTGGCGCAGATCAGCAGGCCCTTGAAGCCACGGACGACACCCAGATCGCGATGCTACGAACAAGCAAGAGACACGAATGAGACGACAAAGTTTACATCTCCCTTTTCCTCCGCTTTGCAACAGCATTTCGAAACCATGTCACTCACTTGATCAAGACCACGGGACGCGCGCTTCTTCATCACAGCCACAAACTCGCGGTTGGAGAGCTTGCCATCACCATCCTTGTCGAACAGATTGAAAACAGTATCAACAATGTGGTTATCCAAGTCGACGTTGGCAACAGCCTTGGCGGCGCGCTTAAAGTCGTCCTTGGTGATCGAGGCACCAGCGGCCGTATACATGCCGAGAGCCATCTCAACGTCATCGATATTCTTCAAAAAGTTGTTGAACGCTTGGAACTGCTTGAACGTCACAGGCTGATCAAGACGTGAAAAAAGAAACCCAAATAAGAAAACAAACAATAAAAAAAAAATGGGCATCAAGGAGCAAACAACCCCAAACGCCCCCGTGTCAACTCACCTTTTGACCCTCGCGAGACTTGGCACGCAAAACGAAATCTTCCTCATCCTTCAGATCGGCGTAGGATAGGAGCAGCTCGGCAAACGCAACCTCGGAGATGGTCTGCTCGTTTCTGCTGTACGATTGGAACTCAATCTTGTTGATTTCGGACTGGAGGTCGTGCACAAAGCTCTTGAATGCAGCGTAGGTAAGCAGCTTGCTGCCATCCTTGCCAAAGAAATGAAGAAGCAGCGGGCTTCGGGAAATCGTGCCGCTGGCCTGCGAGTTGTCTGAGCTGTCAGAGGCGGAGTTCTTGGCTTGCTTTGACGCGCGGTCTTTCGAGCGACCGCTGAATTGACGACGGATCACGGATTGAACTTGCTGGAACTGTATTGGTGGGCAGGACGAGTTAGTTTTGAGGTTGGCTGGAACTGCACAAGAAACCAAACAACAATGAGAACGAAAACACTCACCTCAGTGAGATCGACAGTGCCGTTGCCGTCGAGATCAAACATGCGGAAGGCAATCTCAAAACGACGCTCGGGGGCTGTGAGAAGGGCAAAGAAGATTGAAAAGGTAAGTAGTCATGCAAAGCAGCCCGCATTGTGTTGCAGTCATACGGCAAGCAACCATCTACTGAAAGCAACAAAAAAAAGGCGGCCCCCATTGGCTTACTCGACAGAATGGTCAGCAGGAAGATGTACTCAGAGAAGGACAGGAGTCCAGCATTGCCAAGCGCGAAAAAGTTCTTGCCGCCGCTAAACGAGGCCATCTTCTTTTCGAAAGACTAAGTCCAATGAAAAGAAAGATGAAGATGAGACGTGAGATGATATTAAACACGGCATGGCTCAGCAATCGGGGTTTGCGACTTTTCGCATAGCATTTTCGTACTTCGACATCGACCTTCTCGAACTGGTCCAGGCCAAGATCCTGCGGCTGCATTTCGCCTGGAATGACCGAGCGAATAAAGTCGGCCGGGGTCATGTACACTTCGCCATCGAGCTCCTTGGTGGCAAAGTAACTGCAGATTTGCAATTGCACAGTTGAGGGGGTAAGTGAGTAAGGCTTTTGGTCCTGGTAGTCTGAGCTATTTCTTTTTTTTTTTCAGCTTACCGGAAGATCTTGTCCGGGTTGCTGTACTGACGCAGGCGGTTTTCATAGCGAGTAACCTGGTTTCCAAGATTTTGTTCAAACAACCAAACAACCAAAAAGTAAGAGATTGATTTTTGTATGTTTGTGATTTTTTTTGATTTTTCGATTTTTTTGATTTTTTTTTTTCGTTGGGCTGGAGCGACCTGTGAAGCTGTCCCCCCGCTTCCGCCTGCCAACGCTTCTGCGTTTCATGAGCAACAGTGTTTCACCCGTGCACTGCTCATGGCGCGACTCCTTCTCTGCCAGGTCATCGGGAAAGCGTAAACGCTTGCTTTTTTTTTTTTGGTTTTTTTGGGTGATTTTGAATGAAACGTTTACAATGCTCTCCTTGAATCCCTTCTTCTTCTTGGCGGTGGCGTCTGAGGCAGCAGCAGCAGCATCCTCGTTGCCAGCAGCATTGGCAAGCTCGTTCGAGGTGACGAGCAGCGCCAGGGCGGCGGCGACGGCTGCTCCCGTTGCGTACGCCGAGGAAGACGAGGACGAGGACGAAGACGACCAGCCGCGCTGCGATCCCGCGGACAGGGTGGATGCAGCTGCGGCGGGCGCGGACGTCGACAGGCAAGCACGACGAGCAACGCAGGCTGCTGTTGCCGATGGCGCGGCGGCCTCGGCTGCGGCAACGGCCACGGTCAGAGCAGATCGCAATGCACTGCGCTGCAGCATTTCAATACGAAAAAAAAAAAAAAAAAAAGAGTGAAAATTTCAATTCAAAGTGCCGAGTTCAGGAAGTGCAAGGGATCAACAAGTGGGAGCAACTGATTCGATTGAGTCAAACGTGAGAATACGGTGGGCGTTGGGCGGTGAGTTGGTGGAAGCGAGAGAGAATGAGCGAGAGTGCAAAATTCGACGAGGATTGAAGCGAGCTTCCGCAGCTCCCGCCATTTCGCTACACGCGATTGCAGCATAAACTCAGAGACACAGAGACACAGAGAGAGTGAAAGGGGTGAATGTGATTCAGAATCAACATCCAGAAATCATCGTCATTTCAAAAAAAAAAAAAAAAATTCAATCCAGTTCAGTTTTTTTTTTTTGGTGAGAATTGTATTATTATTTTATTACTATTATTATGAATAATATCAATGGTTTTTGCATTGAAAGGATTCTTTTTTTTTTTTTTTTCACTTTGGTTCGCTCTGTGTCGTCGCCGTCTTCTCTCCCTCGCTGCCTTCCCCTGCGGCTGTCACAGTGCTTTTCGCCTGTTCTCCCCCCCCCCCCGTCTTTGCTGTGTTCTCCCCTCCTCTTCCAATCGTCCGCTCCTTCGACCTTCGCACATTCAATCGCGCGGATCTCGCTTTTTTTTTTTTTTTTCTGCTTTGATTATTATTATCATTCCCAAGTTTTTTTTTTTTTTTTTTTCCGTTTTGTTCGTTCGTTTCGTTTCGTTTGGACTTCGACCGCACTTCTCTCAACTCACTTGCAGCAATTCGTTTCGTCTACTTGTCATTTGTTGCTGTTGATTTTTGTACCAGGTGCTGAGCGACGGCTCCTTCCCCACCTTTTGTTTCTCCAGTTCGATTCGCCTGAGCCTCACCCATCACCCATCACTCGTTCATTGACGTCGTCGACCTGAAGCTACAGCCATGGCATTGTCTAAGCAGCTCGAAAAGCAGCTCAAGGAACTTCGCGATCATCCCGACAACAAGAAGTGCTTTGACTGCGGTGCCAAGGTACGTCCTCTGCTTCCATCCCCGTTATTATGATGACAACGAGAGATGGCTCACGTTTGACTGCTGATGTGCACCATCACCACATTAGAATACCATCTATGTCAACATTACGGCTGGCACGTTCGTCTGCGAATCGTGCGCCGGCATGCTGCGCGATTTCAGCCAGCGCCTCAAATCACTCACGATGGCCAAGTTCTCGGCCGAGGAAGTCCAGCAGCTCTGTCATCAGGGCAACGGCGCCATGCGCGCGGTCTGGCTAGGCAGGTATTCGGCGCGCGACTTTCCCGAGCCAGAGCAGAAGGACACGGAGCGCATCCGACAGTTTATGGACCTCAAGTACACAAAGAGGAAGTACTACCTTCCCCCAGGCGAAGCTCCCGTAGCGCAAATCTCACAGCAACTTGCCAATACCCACGTGTCATCGTTGCCGGGCCCCGGCGGACTCCGGCTGCCGTCCGCGGATGCCGTCGCTGCTGCCGCTGGTCCCTCACACATCACCGCCCCTGCCGAGCACCTTCTCGGCTCCAACTTGCCGCCAATCGTGATTCAGAGCAAATCCTCCGCCGGAAGCACTGCTTCGCAATCGCAAAGTTTGTTTGGCTCGTCCGATCCGTTTGGTGCCGCCGCACCCCCTGCTGCTGCTGCTGCTGCCGCGCGACCTGCTGCGGCTCCTGCCAAGCCCCAGCAACAAGATTTGCTTGCTGATGTTTTCGGCTCTGGTGAGTTTGTGAGAGGTGTTGGATGTGTGTTTGTTTGTTTCGGGTTGCTTTTGCATGCTGAACTTTTTCTTGTTGATCTGCACACGGTAGGTCCCGCGGCGCCGTCCAAACCCAACGGTCCTGCCGCCAATGGATGGAATACCGATTTTGGTGCGTTCACAGCGTCCGGTCCCGCTCAAACTGCTAAAGCCCCGGCAGCGTCAGCTCCGCCGGCAGCCGACAAGTATTCAGCCCTCAAAGATTTGATCGGCTCGACCACGTATGATTCGCCCTCTTCTGCACCTGCCGCTGCACCGAATGCGTTTGGTGGTGCTCCCAATGCCTTTGGTGGTGCTCCCAATGCTTTTGGCGGCGCTGCTCCTAACGCTTTCGGCGCTGCTCCCAATGCTTTTGGTGGTGCTCCCAATGCTTTTGGTGGTGCTCCCAATGCTTTCGGCGCTGCTCCCAATGCTTTCGGCGGTGCTCCTAACGCTTTTGGCGCTGCTCCTAATGCTTTTGGCGCTCCTAATGCTTTCGGCGGTGCTGCCACTGCTGCTCCCAACGCATTTGGCGCTCCCAATGCATTCGGAGCTGCTCCCAACGCCTTTGGTGGAGCCGCTGCTGCCCCGAACGCCTTTGGCGCGCCGAACGCTTTTGGCGGTGCTCCTAACGCTTTTGGCGGCGCTCCTAACGCTTTTGGTGGTGCTCCCAACGCTTTCGGGGCACCGGTGGCTGCTGGCGGTCCCAATGCGTTTGGCGCTGCCCCGAATGCGTTTGGCGCTCCTGCTGGCAACGTGTTTGGCTCCCCGGCTGCTCCTGCCAACCCTTACGGTGCTCCTGCGGCCGCCCCAGGGAACCCGTACGCTCAGAATATCTTTGGCGCTCCTGGTCCTGCTGCTGGCAATCCGTACGCCGCCACACCTGCCGCCGCTGCCAACCCCTACGGTGCTGCCCCTGCTGCCGCTGCCAATCCCTTCGCCTCCTTTGGTGCAGAGCCTGCCAAGCCCGCCGCTGCCTCAAATGGTATGCTCCCCAGCACCTCTTTGTGTATTCGTCTTGTTCATGTGTACTAAACCTCTTCCTCGTTCTTGCTTGTAGCATTCGGCGACCTTTCTCCATTTGCAGGCAAGCCCGCAAGCACTTTTGGCGCCCCCGCCGGTGGTGCTGCTGCCAATCCTTTCGGCGCCCCCGCTGCCGCCTCCAATCCGTTTGCTGTGAGTTGGTGTTTTTCGTCGAGCGCGGTCATTGTTTCCATTTTTTTGTTGCTCATCTTCGTTTGTTGTTTTTTTGGTCATTTCAGAACACTGCTGCTGCAAGCCGCCCCAGCAACGCAAACCCATTTGGCCTTTAAACAGACGTTGTTCTGCAACTGTTTGGATGCACTCCATTGTTGATTTTGTTGGCTTTTGTTGTTTTCTCTTTCCCTCTCTCTCTCCCTCTCGGTTTGGTGTCTCTGTGTTGACCATTTGTCTGATGCAGTCGCGTTGAATATGACTCTTGAAGCCCCCCAAGCCGCAATCCACAGGAATGAATTGGATGTAGTGTGATAGTTTTGAGCAGGTCGGATCTCCACCCCGACCCCCGCCGCCCGCGTTCCGTCTCGGTCCAAGATAGATCCATTGTCTCTATGTCTTATCGTTTCCTGTTGTGTGACAGTACTTGTTGTGGCTTTTTAAAGTGTTGTTGTTTGTGCGGATTTTCTTGGTTTTCACGTGTCAACACACAATCCCAAAAAATGACACAAGTGATGACCTTTCCAAGAACGAATCCAACAGCGACTACAACTTGGACGACGGTTTGGCAGCAGAGGCATCGGCAGGAGCGGACGACGCCTTGGAAGCAGCGGCAGCAGCAGCGCCCTTGACTGGCTTTGGGATCCAGGCCCAGACAAACTCTGCCGAAATTGGCTCCTTGCCCTCCTTGTCGGTCACCACGACGGGGACGGTGACTGCGCCCTTGGGTTGGGTCTTGAGCTGCTCGATCTGCTCGGGGGAGAGCGTGGCGACTGCTCGGAGGCCGCCTGCCGCCCGCTTGGTGTAGTCGACGTGCATGCTCTTGAGCAGCGGTAGCTTGTCGTCGGGGAGCGAGATGCCAACCACAAACCCAGTCGCAGTCTCGGCAAGCAGCGCCATTGCCGCAGCATGGACGCCGCCAATGTGGTTTTGCACATGCGACTTGTTGGCGATCGAGCAGGTGACCTCGCCGGGCTTGAGCGACTCGAACTGGATGCCGGCCGTTCCCGCAAACTTGACCGTGCGCCCGAACGCCGTCGACGTCGCCCACTGACGCATGAATGCAGGCAGATTGCCCAGCTGCGCAATCGCGCGCGTCATCTGGTTTGAGGCAGCCATGATTGAGACGAGAACAAAACAGTAATAAAAGGGTGTGAAACGGGGAAATCTGAGACTGAGCCGTTCAGATTAGATTTGGACTGCCTTCAAGGGGTGAGTGCTCTCCGTCAATGCTGCGCTCCATGCGAT